ATTACTAGAATATAATACACGGAGATACTCCCATATATCTTTGCACGTATCTAGATGAGTACAGAGATCAGCCACCTGAGGCTCCATCGAATTCCACAACAATGTTACAATCTGCGCATCAGCCTGAATCCAGTCGTCATACTTTTTATCATCTATTGCCAGGGCGGATTCCGTGAGGTGACGGTGTTTTCCCTATCTAGTTAGAGCTATTTTCACAACTTTAGACCAATTTAAATAATTGGTTCCGTTCAACTTATAGGTTGTTAATGGTTGAGGTGTAGTCATCGATATTAATACCCTCCAATTCAACAAGTAATAAACAGCTCGCACGAGGGAAACAAACCAACAATACAAACAATTGTAGGGCTTAAATGAAGAACGTGAGAGTCATAACCAGACTTATAAACATTTGTAGTACTGTCATACGAACAATAACCAGTAACCAAAGCAGATCTGAAACCAACAGATTGAACACCGACCAGAATCAAAAACTTCGAACGCTAACCCGCCGGATGAACAGTACTCCGTCGATGAACAGTGCTCCCGTCGGATGAACAATATTTTTTTTTTTTTAAGTAAAAAGAGTAGGCAAAGAAGAAAAAGAAGCTTTGAACAAATCTTATGGAATTAATCTCTCATAACCTTGCTCTGATACCATGTTGAAGTAAAAGAATAAGAAGGCTTAACTATTGTGTTAGCCTCTCACACTATTTATAATAAAAACTTAGGAAACCCTAGGTATTACATAAAAGACTTAAATACCCTTTAACAGTTATTTTCCAGATAATTTGTTCCCCTTCTTATATTGAATCGATGATCACTACTGATCTTCTTACATATGGAGGAGGAGACATATTTGATGTTTCCGACTTTATCGTGTGGTAATGGTGCTAACAAAATTCATCAAAAGGCTAAATCGTGTACAGAATATAAACTAACTAAATGAAGGACCATTTGATTATCAAGCCTGCTCTTTGAAATAAATAAACGTTCATAAATCCCACATAAATTAGCATTCATAGCATACACAGAAGCATCGCCAAACTATGAATCTGATGCTGCTGGAATCCCTCCTTAGCTCTAACACTTTCAAGACTAGAATAGTTGCTCAACTCCCCTGGAACTAAACACTGTTAACGGACAAATAAGAACAGTAAAAGATTTGAGAAATCCACAAGTATCCAAATCTCACTGGATAAAGAATTTAACAAAAGATTCAGATATAGTAAACTTGACAAGCAGCAAAAACCTTGAGGCACTTCCCTTGATAGTGAATTCTCCTCCAAAGCCACAACTTGCAAACTTGGCAACCCAAAGAGCTCACTAGACAGCTCTCCAAACAAGTTCTCTTACTCAAATCAAGAGTTGCGAACCTCAACTAATTCCTAGTGCTCATCCAAATCATCCCGAAGACGCACAACCACAAATATTCGGAACCTCCAAGCCATTTAATTCCCCAATATTCATCAGCAATTCATCTGAAAATCTATCATTACTCATATTCAGATTACTCGAATCGCCAAGCCTTATCAATTCCACTAGCACACAGTCGGTCAACTTGTTATCACTCATATCAAACAATTCTAGCCCGAAAGCCCTGCCTAAACTCGTGGGAACTGAACCAGCAAATGGATTCCCACCAAGAAACAGAATTTTTAAGTTCTCCATATCCCATAAAAATTTCGGAACTAAACTTAAAACCCAATGTTATCAAAACCCGGCCGTCCCGGCCAGTTCAACCGGCAAAACCGAGAACCGGCTCCATATCTCGGTTGCATAGGAAAAACCTTAATTAAAAACTCGTCATAAAACTGGCCACAAGGCCGGTTTAAGGAGGCCCGTTGAACCGGTCTTGAGTTCGGACGATTTTAAAGGATAAATTTTAATATAAAAATATTATTTATTCAACTCAATTAGTGGCCCAATTCACCAACTCAACCCTTTTATAGACTTTCTCGTCTCTCCAGCTTTTTGAGTTCTCCGATGTGGGATACAGTGATGCTATTGCCATTGGTTACTCTTTAAGGGAGAAACCAAAATTCTCTATGTAGCCTACTTTGTTATAATTAACTAATTTTAACAAAACTAATATATCTACCAAATAAGTATTGAAGTACAAAATAACTATAAAAAATTAATATTTTATATACTCTTAAATATATTTTTGTAGTTATTTATTTAATAACTATTAAAAATGAATAAGTATAAAATAATCATAGCTAAAAAGTAAGTAAATCATTTTACATTTTATATACTCGTATATATATATTTTTTTTTTATTTATTCAATAATTTCTTACCACCGGTTCAATCCGGGTCAATTCTGGTTGAACCACTTGACCCTTTTAACTTTTCCGAGTCAATGTTTGGGTCAGGTTTTAAAACATTGATAAAACCAAATACCTCCGAGATTAAATACTCTTAAAACTTACATTTCTTCACACTTGCAGGAATTTCACCAATGATTGAATTATCCACACTATGAATTCCTCCAAATACATCAAATTCCTAAGATCATCCAGCAAATAGCTGGAAATAAAGCCCCGTCCATCAATGAAAAACAAAAACCCATCATCTCACCATTGTTATTATCGCCGGTAAGAGATTTATACTTTGTACAGCAGGATTTACGGACGAGTTGCTTGCTTGCTTGCCAGTGGTGGCTATAGGTAGTGCAACTGGAAATCTAGAGCGTGAAGCCGACTATGACACCATTGGCGATTGGTGTGACAAGGGTGGAGCCGGCAATAGTTATGAATGGCGATTGAAGAGAAAATTTTATAGATAGAGAGGAAGTCTTCATAATTTCCATGAGAAGTTAAAAAGCCCATATAATTTTCCACTTTTCTTATTTGAAAAATAATCCTAAGGAGGATGGGGGCTCCAAGACACATATGCTGCTGATCATTAATAGAAGAGATGAATAGCATTGCCCAGTGGAATAAATCAAATCTTGTCTAATAACTATTTTTTTTTCCCAAACATAAGTATCCAATTTTGGAAAGAATTTGCCATTGATTTTGGATTTTCACTCACCAGAATCGAGTAGTTCTAAGTCATAGGAAAATGATGGCAAATTCGACACACTCTCAGAATTGAAATTTATTTTAGAAAAAAAAAATAGATAGTTATTAAACTAAATTTAACTTGATTTTATCCCCTTTTTCTTAATTATTAGGTTCGAGATAGGAAGTGTGCCTTCATCTTAATTGGTTAACTTTCTCTTCGTAAGTAAGGCGCTGGTATTTCAATTACATAGTTCAATTAAATTGACATTAAAATTTCCTATCCCAAATTTTGGTCTTCTCCTTCTCTTCTATTTTCTTCTCTATATTATGCTGCTCTACATCTATCTGGCATCACCTATCTTTCGCCATATTGAAGCTTCTTAAAGAGCTGTCTTTGACCAATACATTAAAATCTTCAATTTAACAATCTTTTTCAATTCAGAAGAGATAGTCTGTAGGTGGCATTAGTCACGCTCAATGAAGCTGTCCTACATCAGTCAGGCAATAACCTCTAACCCTGACAAAGGAAAATAAATCTACCCCATGTCATATCCGTAAATAAATATAATTGCACTGCAGAGTGTCAACATTTGGATCAGTACACAAAGAAGCTGATCTACAGTAGGATGAGATCTTGTGTGTTCTATAAGAACAGAAGATACTTGAATATACATGGGAAGAAAGAGTCTGAGAACAAAGAAATATAGCCTTAAATGCCAGACATACATAGGATACTAATAATAAGTGGCCAATTATAAATATTAGATAGAGAATGACTAGCATAAGAGAGAATGTGCATAAAGAATTACTACGTTATGATATGAATTTTGACTAATGCAGATAATTCTAAGTGCAAAGTGATTAATAATTCAAAGTGAGAGGCAACAACTACCCGAAATTTCCAATGCCATTAACTGATTCCAGAAACTGCAACTGATGCTGCTGCCGCCCGTCCTGCTGTGGCTCAATCTGTTGCAGTGGCTGCACAGCATTACCTTCCAGTGCCACTGCAGCACCAGTTGCAGGAGTGCCCTTCCCCTCAACAAACCGCCACATATACCACGCCCCAACTGACCTGTATGGCCTCCACTTCTCGCACAATTGCTCCATCTGTGAAGGCCTCGGCAAATCCTCCAAATTGTGTAACAATTGTACACCTTTCCTAACCCCTAAATCACTCACAGGTAACACATCCGGTCTGTGCAGAGAAAATATCATGAACATGTGGACCGACCAAGAACCTATCCCCTTCACCATCGAGAGCATAGTGAACAGAGACTTGTCATCCATTTTCACGACTGCGTTGTCTGACAAAATCCCAGAGTTATACTTATTTGCAAGGTCATATAAATAGCTCGCCTTGCGCCCAGAAATGCCAATTTGCTTGAGCTGCTGTGCAGAGAGGGCAAGAACAGTATCAGGGCGGACAGAGTCTTCGCCACCGCAAAGAGAGGTGAAGCGCGTATAAATAGAGGTGCCAGCCTTGTAGGCGAGCTGCTGGTAGAGAATGCTCTTGGCGAGAGCTAAGAAAGGAGGGTGGTGGGACTCGAATTGAGGGGGCGGGTGGGTATCAATTATCGGGGCGAGAAACGGATCTACAGAACGGAGGTGACGAAGGGCCAATTCAATTTCGCCATTGGCGGACAAGGGTTTGATAATCTGAGGCAGAGCTCTAGAAGATTGGGAGGCACTACGCCGCCGGTTCTTGTTTGTAATAGTGGTTGTGGGAGCAGAGGCGGAGGAATCATCCGGTGGAGGTGATTTATCAACGGCGGTGGGAGTGGGAATTGGGGTGGCGGAGGAGAGTTTGCGGACTTTTTGGGGTCGAATTGGAATCTTGGAAGGGTTGGAGTGGCCTTGGGAATTTTTCGGAAAATCGCTGTTAGTGTCGGCGGTGGCGGGAAGAGGGTCAGTTGAATGGGTTGGTAGCGGCGGAGATTGTGCATTGGAATCGGAATTGGGCTCAGCTTTCTGGGGCTGAGTCGGAGATGGAGGTTTAGAATCTTGAGATTGGGTTTCTGGTTGTGTCTGGGTCTGCTCACCCATGTGCACGGATGGTGAAAGTGAGATCTACTCGATTGTGGGGTGTTTATCGATGGCGACGGTGGCGATAAGCTCGATAGTGCGCTGTGAAAGGCGGAGGCAGTGGTGAGAGAGTTGATGGCAAAAGTCTATCCAGTCAATGGATGTTGAGGTTCTTGATCCTTTGTGCTCGTTACAGCATTAAGCATTGACCAAGGATATAATCTTTTTGAAAGGCTTTGTCATTATTTTAACATTCTTTCTTCTACTTATTCAATTGTAATCTTACATTTGCGTAATAAAATATTTTATACGTAAATTAAAAAAATTTCCCTACATATTTATCACACACTCTCTAAAAAAAATATCACTATTCAAAATTCTATTTTACCTAAATAATGATTGTCAAACAATGGCTAAATATATTCACACTAGTGTAATTAGCATAAAATATTCTAATCGTTTGCACTCATTGTCCAAATTATTTATATAGTTCTAAATTTGGCATTTACACTTTCATTTCAACTTTTTTTTTGTGGAGTTGATCATTTACGTCTCATTCCATTAATTTCTTCCGTCAAATATAAGTAATTGGTGCAACAAGTCCCTATAGTTTGCTTTCATTGCTCAAAACGTCCATATCATTTGCCTTTATTATGCTATTGTCCATTTTCTCTATTAAAACATTGTAAAATAATTAATTTACCCTCCTTTTGAAATAAACAAATAGAAAATAAAGAAAAAAATATAAAAAATGAAATAATTGCAGTCAAACTCTATTTTTCAAATAGGGAGAACAAGTTCCACTTAAAATAATTTAAGGCATGTTAACAAAAAAAAAAAATCATCTTCCAAAAAAGTTATTTTCCTCTTAATTATGTTTGAACTATAACAGTTATGGTTGGGGTTTGGATTAAGATCTTGAATGAATCCCTTGATTGAAGAAGAAATTTTATCTTCAAACATCATTTTATGAGGCAAAAACAACTTATACAAAATTAGGGCAACGTTTAAAAGTTAATGCAGTGTGTGTGTGTGTGTGTAAGAATTCGCTGGAAATATGTAAATCCCTCTTGTAACTTCGCTGAATGCAAAACAAATATTGGAACATGACACTTGATTGCAGAAAAATACCTAAATCCCTTAATGGTGCCACGGTGGGATGGCGAGATTGGGTGGCAGCGGCCTGTGTCCGAAGGTAGGGTTCCAAATTGGATAGGAAAGAAGAATCATTTTTTTAATTTTTTCTATTTTTAATAATTTTCTTACTTTTTTATACTTTTAACTCTTTTTTAAATTATTTTAGCAGTGTTTCATATCAAAAATAAAATAAAAATTATTTTAGCAGTGGTAGAGGATAGATGATGGGGATAATGTGGGGCAAAGTTTTCTTTTGTTAGTATGTTTAAATTGTTTTATGTGAAACTCGTTTTTATTTTTTTATTTTTTAAAAGAACTCTAGCTGCAATTATTTATTTATTTTTATATTATTTCTTTCTTTTATATTTGTTTATTTGAAGAGGAAGGTAAATTAGTGATTTTATAATACTTTAATGGAGAAAATAGATGGTAAGGATCTTTTGCGTAATGAAGGCAAACAACGCAAACGTTTTGCACTATGAAAACAAATGATAGGGATGTTTTGCACCAATTACTCATATTCGACAAAATGAATAGACTGAAGGAGATGGTAAAGACAAACTCCGTAAAAAAATGTTGAAATGAGGGTGGAATTGTCAAATTTGAAACGATAGAGACGATTTGTGCAATGAGTATCAACGATGTGGATGTTTTGTTATAATTACCCTTCACACTACACTTTTTAATAACTAGACTACAATTTAATTGCATGAAATGTTTATTGTCTTTATATATTATCACATTTATGTTTCAAACTTTTTTCATCGCATTCTTATTCTCAAATTAACATAAATTGTTCTTGATTATAATTTTTCTCCGCAATTTCTTTAAGATCAAATAAAAAGACTCATTGGCCATTTTATTTTTCAATAAGCATAACAAATAATACTACAAAAATACGATTAAATATTTGACTCTCATTTTAAAGTACGTTAACAATATTTTTTTTGTACGAAACCATGATTATGGATAATATTTTTCTCGATTAACAAAATGTTAAAAATAAGATTGTGATGAAGAAAAAAGCTAAGAATATAAATGTGATACTGAATAAATGTTAATGATCTTTAATGAGGTGTATTTATTTAAAAAAAAATGTAATATGAATATAACAACCCACTATGAAATTATTTAAGCTAATGTTTGACTTATGTTTATACCATCAGTCATTTTTTATTGAAAATTTCATATGTATTACTCATTTATCCACTATTTATTTTTATTTATATATAATTTAAATTATAAAACTCTCAAATAGATCACGATATTATTTGGTCAATCTGGGCAATTCAATACTTGAAACCACTAATTATACTTTGATTATTTCGTAAACAAAATTATTCGGGTTCACGTAATTACTGGAATGAAACTTTGAACTCAAACCAACTATTCTCGTTCGAATTCAGTTTTTCATAAAATATTTTCTAAAAAATAATGAGCCGATAATAAAAATTATATTTTCAATACCTAATACAAATAGAAGAAATAAGGGTCCGTTTGATTGCAAAGTTGGAAAATTGGTGGAAAGAAAATGTTTTACAGGGAATTGATTTTCCTAGAAAATGTTTTACTGGGAATTGTAATTAATTGTGTTTGATTGGTAAAATTTTCTATGAAAAATGTAGAAAGTTTTGTGTCCATTTGACTTCATTTTTTATGAAATTTGTCCATTAAAGTGATAATTTTTTCTACCATTGGGTCTAAAATTTGTTCCAATTGTAAAAAAAAAATTGAAAAAAAAAATTGAAAAAAAAAAATTTTTTGCCATACCGAATATCATTCGTTTGACTTTGTTTTGCATGGAAGTTGTCAATAAAAGTGAAAATTTTTTTTACCATTGTATCTAGAATTTGTTCACATTGCAACAAAAAAAAAAAAAAAAAAAAAATGGTGGAAAATGTTTTCCCACCAAATAGGTGAGAAAACAAAATCAAGTTTTTGTGCATCAAATGATTGTACCTAGAAAAAGGTGGAAAACCAATTCCAGGAAAAAAAAGTGCAATCAAACACGACAAAAGTAGGAAACGGAATTTCAATTACAGCTTCCATGAAAAATAAAGGGCTATCAAACAGGCCCTAAAAGACTCTACAATACATATTTTAACAATTTTTTTAGTGGGATGTATTCAATTAAAATTTTTGAAGACCTTTATATACTTATTTTAGGTGATGTACTTTGAGGAATTCATGGACTTTTATAGATTTGTATGGATTTAACGAAATTTGTAATAGACTTTTGCATATTTTTATTTTAAAAGTTTTATAGAATTTTGCGGAATTCATAAGACTTTTGAAAACATTAATATAAAATAGAATTTCTTGAATTTGGTGCAGCAGTGAGAAGTTCGCACATAAGAGACCTTTAAAAAATAAATAATCAATCAATATATTTAAATTTCTTTACAAATTAGTATTGGAGAAATGATAAAAAAAAAAAAAAAAAAGGAAAAGAGAGCAAATATAATTGGTAGAAGGAAAAAAATATTTTTTAATTATGTGACTAATATTTGTAGAAGTGAAGAGGAAAGAGAAATATTGAAAGAACAAATAATGTATATTATTATTATTTTTCTTTAGTGTAAGTCTTCAAAACTCTTAGAGGGCAAGTAGTATTCTAGAAATTTTTTATGAAAGTATTTAAAAGTCATTGACATTTTGAATATTTCATGGCTTAAAGAAATTTTTTTAAAAAAATTAACTGAATATATCGGGACTTTAAATATTTTTTTACAAGTGTATAAAAATCCCTTTTGAATAAACCAATGTTGTTAAAGAGTTTTAAAAAGTCTACATTGAATATATCTATATTTTTTTAAGTCCTTAAAGTATTTAAAAGTCTTAACTTAATACATCCCCTCAAATGATTGCAAATGTATCACAATATAGCATCTAAATATCTAGTATAATAGCATTAAATTTCTAAAAAAATAAGCCATCATAATATCTAGCACAACAAGAAAACTAAATTACATATCAAAAATCAAACCAAAAACTAGAAACCAACAATAAAGAAGTACTGAATTCTACAAATGCTAAAAACAAAATAAATCAATTTACCCGAAAACAATGTAATATTAAATATTGTCGACTTTTCTTTTCATCCCATCATTTTCTTTCAATCACCAATCTATCAACAGTGTGAACTATAAAGTTAGAAACAATATAAGTGATTGTGCCCAAAGAATAACGCGGTAATTGTAGTACATCTTTGGGGTGTCGTATCCACAGGGAGATGGAAGAATATTTAAAGGATCAAAAGGGTTGAATTGTTCTCTCAAATGTGTAATAAAATTCAATGTTGAAACGTGAAATTAAAATCAATAATTCGAAGCGGTGAAGCGTCAGAATTCCCTCAATTGGATTGGATCAATCATATCAATTATTCATTTTTATAACACAATTAGAGGCTTTCATCCCGACACTCTAATCGGAAGATATATCGTGAAAATCAATTTAATTTACAAATGTTATCCTAGAATTTAAATTTAAGACATATTCGCACAATTTTATTGGAACAAGATCAAAGATCAATCATATATATCAAGCATAAGGTAGTAATCAATCCACCAATAAAGTGAAATTGAGATTAAAATTCAACAACTAGTTTAATCTAACAACAGAAAAAGCATGACTGGATCTATAAATGATATAATAATTGTTAAACCAATCTCCACAATAAATAATTGAGATTGAAACTCAATAAATAATTTGATTGAATAATGGAAAAAGTACGACTAAATCCATGAAAAATCTTGTAAATATTAAACCGATTTCAATATAAATTCAAGAAAATGAAAATCTAAATTTTAGTTTTGTTTGACAATAAAAAGATCAAATTAAATGAATAAAAGACATGAAATCACCAATTCCAATCGAGTTCTTTT